AATGACTTATGAGTCGCATGTTGTCATGTATAAGTATGTTTGATGTGATAAGACAAGAATATAATAGCGCAGAATTACATTAGTTACAAATTTCATCTAAGGGTATGTTTGGGGCAGCTGCAGCTTATCCAGCTTATGTTGATCCTCACAAGCTGCGTATCTGCAGCTGATACTGATAAGTTATTTGCTTGTTTGGTTTGTGTATTTGAAAAACAGTTGATTTGCAGTTGTTTCTGGATAAATGAAAACTCTTCCCCTTACCTGTATAAGTTGTTTGGTATGTGCGTTTGGAAAACAGCTGATTTGCAGTTATTTGTGGATAAAAGACAATTACCTAATTTGAAATTACAATTAATAAAAAAGAACATATTGAAATTACGATTAATAAAAGGATTTAAAATGTAAAAGAAGCATGTGCACTTCCCTCCCTCAATACTTATGGTGTTTGGCAAAGAAACAAAATTGAAGAGGCAGACATTTTTCAACGAAACCTAACTTGCAGCTATTTTGTTTCTTTAAGAATCGATACTTGGGAAGTAGCTAGACTTACGCAGTACATTTGATGAAATGAATTCTTAATAAAACAAAATTGAAGATTTTGGTGAAACAATCTGAGTGTACAAGAGTATAGTCATAAATAAACAAAATTGAATTCTTGCAGTGTCATTTATTAGAGATGAAAATAGACCAATCTAAGGAGCTTCAAAAACTCCGTGGTCAAGTTTATAAGCAAGGAAGGCCCTACAAAAATACAAAATAGCATGAAAAGACTGAAAAATAGTATGCAAAGATGAGTATTTGCACTCCCATTAGAAAGAAACATCTAGCAAGCTAATGAAACCCCTAAGATTTTGGTTAAGGGTCATCATAAGGCTAGTAAGAATAAGTATTCAATGCACCATATGAAGAGAGGGGAAATCAAATAAGTTAACTATAAGTAATTCAAGTCAAAAAGATTATGAAACAAGTCATATTAACAAATAGAGTATGTTGTATATGCAGGAGTGAGCACCAACACTATTATTGCTCCAACTTGCAGTCAGGTGGAGAGAAATTGAAAAGAAAATTTCAGTTTATAGACAGAAACATAAATTTATTAAAATATTAAGGGAAATTTACATATGCAACACACAATTCATAAGTACTTACATATCTCACACCTAAACTTCTATATTTACAACATGTTAAATTGTTTTCAGTGGTAAGTTGAGCGTTGATTATTGTTTTGATGCCATTCATGATGAATTTGAGTTGGGGAGGGATCAAAATACTTCCATATTTGATGGGATTGCCACTGAGTTCCGGCTAAAGATGGCTGGAGAAATTTTCTGACATCTTGCAGGTGGAGGAAGAGAATTTTCTTGGAGAAGTGGAGTTTTGTTACCAAGACTAATAGCTTTGTTGTGTAGCCGTGGATTTCTGGAAATCAAGAATGGGAAGAAGAAGGAAGGAGGAAGTTGAAATGGGGAAGATTACAGGAATGTTTGTTATTCCACAGAGAAAATAGGAAATTAGCATTACATTGCTACAGAAGCCCACCATATAAATTCCAGAAGAATGTTTAAGCTATAAACCGAAATAGAGCAAAAAAATAGAAAAAGTTTTTGTGCTTTTGTAAATTGTCATTCTTTCCTATTTTGTTGTTATTTTCATTCTGCACCTATTCTCAACATCTCAAGAAAAGATGCTATTCTCAACATCTCATACAAAGATGCAAACTTCCATAATTCTCCTTCTGGAATTTTAATTGTTTAGTTGGCTTCTCTTTATTATGAGAAATTGTACCTGCAATTAATATCTGCTCATAGTGATATTTGAATTGGAGCAAGAGCTTTGTGCCACGAGGACAAAGCTTCACAATTGTAAGAATGAGCACAAAGAAAAACTTGAAGATTTGGTGAACACTGAACATTTAGATTTGTCCTCAACTACTTCATCTGATAAGAACTTTATGGAGTTGGTAAAGCAAACTGAAGTATTTCGAACCGACTTACGGGTTCGTGAACAAGAGATCGAAGATCTCAGGGGAGCAATGGGGGCTGCTGCCAATCGATTCGAGACTGAAATTTCATGGAGGGACAATACTATTAAAGAGTACAAGACATGGATAGATGCAGTATTTAACAAGTTTGAGCTTAAAAATGGCATTTCGGAAGAACAGGCTGATGATGAACAAACCTCGGATCATAAAATGTCTATGCTGGAAGCTAAACTTTCCAGCCTTATGACCTCAACCAGTTCCTATGAATCAAAGATTCAACTTTTTGAAGAAATGGTAAAGAAGTTAGAGGCTGAGAAGAGTGAAATCAGCACAGAGAGTGAGGAACAGATAAATGAAATGAATCAAAATCTTCATGATTTTATGATCAAAGTTGATATGTTAACATTGGAGAAAGATGAGCTCAGAGCTAAAGTGATCAGGCTGGTTGACGATATCGAAACTTGAGAGAGGTGCTTGTAGAGAGGGATTCGGCCAAATAGGGGAGTAGGGAGGAGCGGCTAGGGCAGACAAGCAAACCAGAGAGGAAGATGGAGCTCGGCGCAACCAGGGCAGGATGCGAACTGGAGCGGAAGAGGGAGCTCGGCGCAGCCAGGGCAGGACGCAAACTGGAGCGGAAAAGGGAGCTCAGCGCAGCTACGACAGACATGATCGAATGAAGCGTGGAATAAAAACGTCGTATTTTCATAAGTTGTTTAAACGCGTTAATCAAACAACGTTGAGGCATTTTCAAGACGCCGCCCACACTTATAAGCTGCCCCAAACGGGCCCTAAATGACCGTGAACGTAATGAAATTATAAATTACCTTAAAATATGTTACACCTTCATAAATGCCATGCAATATTACATTAATTTAATAATTAATAATATATATTATAC